ATTTAAAATAATTCTATTCCTCAGCTTATGGTACCTGATAATAGTGAAGCCAGCAAAGTTTCTGTATTAATTTATTTTCAGTCCTTTTTATGAGCTAAATTGTGTCCAAATTCATATATTTAAAACCCAAATCCACTACCTCAGATTTGGCTGTATTTGGACATTGGGCTTTTAAAGAGGCATTTAAGTTAAAGTTGGGTCACCCAGATGCACCTTAACCCAGTAACTTCTATTTTTTTTTATTTTAAAGAGAAAAAAACCAAAAAATTTAAAAACAAGGTGATAGGAGGGTAACAATGGTTAATACACTGTGTATTGTTATTTTTAAATTAGTTACTCAGATACAGGCATTTAATTATCCAAACAGTGTGTGCTTCCTGCTCCTCGTCCCAATCTCTGCTTCCCATAAGAAGAGAAGCTCTCTTAGGTCATGGAAAACTTCTGTTCTTCTAAGAAGCACAGATTAGGACCTGGAGCAGGAAGCACACAAACACATGGACAGGCTAAGCGACAGTGAAGTGAGCACACAGTGACACAGAAGCCATTTGATGAAAAAGAAAGCAAAGCTGATACTTTTGTCGTGGACTTCTGGCTTTCAGGGCTATAATTGTTTAAACCCTTATCTCTGTGGTATTTTATTATGACAGCCATCAAACATCAGTACTTTTTTTATCTTTATTTCTTTTTTTCTAGTCGCAGTGCATCCTACCTAACAAAAGCCAGCACCTTTAGCACCATAGCTCTGAAACACCCCGTTTGCATGGCCAAGACTCTTGCGAAGTCAAGCGCACTCAGCTCAGCCAGTGCAGACGAGAATGAGCTGAAGAACACAGGGGAAGGGAGGGGCCGGGGTGACGTGGGGAACTCCCTTCCTGTCACTATGCTAAGGCAGCTGTTGCTTGAAATGCTGGCTAGACAATGGACAAAGCAAGCTCATGAAAGCACTCTTCTACGGTGTGGAAAACATCCTCTCTGTAATAACTGAGTGTGGGACAGTGTTACTATCCAGCCATGTGCCACTGAACACTTCCCAAGTTAGCCCCTGTCCAGTCTGCAGACAGCGAACCGTGGTTATGAACAAGTCCAACCACCACTACTAGATATTCTGAGTATCTTCTGACAACTTTCCTGTTCAGCCAGTTACCCCTGAACTCTATTCTTCTCTGCTAGTGTATCTCAACTAATGCCATCCTTTCCTATTGATATTGCAATAAAACTTAACCTTCACAAACCATCTGCAGGTATTTTCCTTGGTCTTTACAAACATACTTCACTGTAACCAGCACACTTTCAGTGTGGACAAGAAGCACAGCAGCTTCAGGAGGGAACCACATCAGAACATTCAATGTAACTACATTTGTTTCCTTACAAATCTACAGTTCTGTGCAATGTGGATTCAGCACATTTTATATAAATATCCTATATCTCTACTTTTAATATATATATATTTTTTTTACAAGAAAGATTTAATTCCCAAAGAAGTTTATTTGTCCGTTTACCTATTACATCCTGTCCACACTGATCATTAAATATTTATATTAGACACTGCATCTATAAAATATAGATATCTAAAATATTCAATATTGAAAAATGCAGTTGTTCACCAGGAAATTTATAGGCATGTTCTCTTACAAAAACTGTGTTTGCATCTTTTCTAGCAATTCTCTATACTCTTGTCTCCTCTGAAATGAAAGTACAGAGGAGAGAAGAGAAGAATAATTTTATCTGATAAGTATCGTTTTTTAGAGGATCTATCCATCTTTTATCATCCTCTTAGCACCATTCCTGGAAATAATGACTATGCTACATCTATTGGTGAAGCAAAACAGGAGAAAGGTCAACAGAGATGATGGCATTGTAAACATAGTTTTTATAGATATCATTTGTCTAATTTTGCTGTTAAATCACAAGTTCCTAGTGCTTTGGTGTTATTTTTTTTCAATAATGAATCACTAGCTGGAAATGAGATCCTTAGACAGATGCACTTTAATCACTGTCTCCTTTACATGTCACGGCGTTAAACTCAACTCAGTAATGCAGTCTTGGAGGACCCTGGAGAAGACTCAAGAGGAAGCTGTTTGAATCCCTCCAGGAGACCTTCTTAGCCAGTCCCCAGGGGCATTCTCCTCACGGACATCCCAGGAAATGAGTAGATCAGGAGTCACCTGTGCCTCAGGTACACTCTCAAATATTTATAGAGCCAGTCAGCTCTTGTTAATGCAACAAGGTACAATCTCTCTAAGAAGCTGATTCTCTCATAGAGGTGGGTGGATAATAGGATATTTTATTTTTGTATAATGGTCTTTAAACATGCAAACCATGGTTGTGCTTTCTTTGGTCTTGTTGTTATTTTGTTATTGTTCTTTTCTTCCCTTTGAAATAAAAAAATGCACACCAAGCCTTAAAATGAGCCACTCCACTCTGGTTTTAGAACACACTATAAATTACACATAGTAATCCAATAATATAATGCAGTACTGATACTAATGTTGATCCATAATATTTTCAACATTTTTCAGAAATACAGGGTACCATATATGACCCACAAACTTACGTTTACAAATTAGAATTGTTTTTATCTCACATATTAAGTAATGTATATCACTATTGTAACAAAGTATTTTGCTCAGCGAATTGGCTTATGTCTTAATTTATTGTAATCATGTTTTCTAAAAATGTATATTTTATACTATTACCACTGCTGTTATGAAAGAAAAGTGGATATATAAATAGTACCTAATCTCAAAATTATACCCTTTCTTGAAAACAGGATAACTATAGATTGCCAATTTTCTCAGGCAACTTATCAATTAAATGTAATGACATAAAGCCAAATATTCTAAGGAGCATAATGTGATCAGTGCAATAATCAGACATTTAAATAGTGCTCGCTACACTGCCTATCATCTTGTATGGTGAAGCTCTGCATCATTTCCAATTTTTTTTTAATTACTTGCTACTGTCTTTGATTGTGTGATAAATCTTACATTATGTCTGGTGGACTAAGCAGCTTCGTTGAAGAGAACAGTATGTAATGTAGCAACCATTGTTAATTCCTATCATTTTGTTTTGAGGTCCAGTATCATTTTTGTTGTTTTTGTGTTGTTTTGATTTTGTCTTCATTTTTGTTCTGTTAGTTTTCTATCTTAAAAAAAAAAAAACTCACAAAAGCCCACCTTTATGGACTCCATCCTGCCATTTCTTCTTTCTCTGGCACCACTTGAAGCCTGCCCACCTGGCATGCCAAGGGTATGCTGAAAGGGACGTCATGGTTCTGCATCCAGCTCTCTATTCAGCTTCTCTGCATTTCTACTTTCTCCGCTTTGTTCCACCTACCATTACATTATCACAGAAATCCCGTCACAACCACCTACGTGGTGTTTTAATTTTTAAACCTCCCACTCATGCCCTGGTGCTACATTTTATCAATTCCACCTGCAGGAGTAATGGACTTAAAGCTCACAGCTGATCACATGAATCACGTAACTTAGTGTTTCTCTATGCTTTAAAACTCACTTACAAGAGATAAATACTGAAAGATAAAAGATCTGGTTCTTCTAATTCTCTATTTCTTCATTATAATCCTGTCACATTCTTAAGCTGCTTCTTCCCACACAGAAAAAAAAAATGAAGGTTTTAAAGTTAAGGGAAAATTTTAAAGTTATTGTCTACCTCAGTGGCCTTTGTTTCCGCATTCCAGTATCTGGAATCCTGGACTGCTCTGTCTATGACTCATTAGATAATGCATAACCTTCCATTACTTTAGGTTTCACTGAAATGTCACCTTCTTAGGATTTTCTTAATATCCCATATGTTATCCTCCCAGCGTATCTTAATGCATATTTTTGTTTAAGTTACTCATTACACTTAATACACTAAGAATTATCTCCTTGGAATATTTTGTTTTCGTAGACTTTTTGCCCTGTCTTCTGAACAGGAGGTTCACATGGTAAAGAACAAGTGATTTGAAGTTTAAAAATCATCTGACATAGAGTAGAAACACAAGAGAAATCTGTTTAATTAACAGTTAGGAAAATGATGAAAAACAAACCAAAGGAAAAGAATGATGTGTGCTGTCAGAAACAAACATCATAGGCGCAGCAGTGTAAGTAGTTAGTTTGATCTTTTAGCTCTGATTTTTCACATTGGTCTTTCCTGTTTTCTATGGTTGTAGAATGATTTTTCTATTTTTATATTCATTTTTTGGAGAAAGAAAACAGGAAGAGTTCTGAGCTCTCACTGCTCAGACACTTAACCATGAAATAAGCTTAACTGTGTGGACCTTCTCTCCACACGTTTACATGAGGGACCATGACATAGTTTCCATGGGTTGGTGCAATCAATCATGAATGCTCAGGGACTGTAATTGTTTAACTAAGATCAACTGAATGTCCTTGAGCCGTTACAGGGTAATACTCAACCATATTGGAATAGCAGATAATAATATGGTAAATGTGTATTTTGTATCCTTCATAGAAAGGAAACAGGATAAAAATATTTATTATTATAAAAAGAGATATGGAAGAAAATTTCTTAAAATGACTTAGTAAAATTAAAGTAGATATATTGTAAATTGTAAACAAAGTAAAAAATAGCAAAGTTATCAATAAGAACAAAAACAATGGAAGAAATGTGAATAATTATAAAAGCTTGTGAGACAGAAAAGAATAATGAAAGGAACTGGGAGAACACCATATCCAGTAAAGAGTTATGTAAACAAATTTCAAAATAATACACTTTTCACCACTGTACTGCTCTAAATGATGAAAGGGAATCAAGTAGCTGAAAATAACACTAAGCACATATAAGTGTGTATTTTTGTCTTGTCTAATAAAATTAAAAATAGGAACAATACAATTTACAGGAAAAAATAATTCATGGTTTAAAGAAATCTCATCCACAAATTCCCAAATGTCTACCATGAAACTACCAAAATACGATTACTTTAATTTTGTGAACTTTTCTTTTCTTCTCTAAACAGATGAGATTCTAAAAAGCACATGGTTCCTGGAAATATGACACAGATCACTGAGTTCATTCTCATAGGGGTCTCAGAGCATCCAGAGCTGCAGGTTCCCCTCTTCCTCATCTTCCTGGTCATCTATGGACTGACCGCGGCAGGGAACCTGGGCATCATCACCCTCACCAGTGTGGACCCCCGACTGCAAACCCCCATGTACTTCTTCCTCCGACACCTGGCTGTCATTAACTTCGGCAACTCCACTGTCATCGCCCCTAAGATGTTGAGCAACTTCCTAGCAAATAAGAAAACCATCTCATACTATGTGTGTGCCACCCAGCTGGGTGGATTCCTGGTTTTCATTGTGGCTGAGATCTTCATGCTGGCTGTGATGGCCTATGACCGCTACGTGGCCATCTGCAACCCCCTGCTCTACATGGTGGTGGTATCTCCACGTATCTGCCTGCTGCTGGTGTCCATCACCTACCTCTATGGCCTTTTCACTTCCATTGTGTTTACACTTTGTGTATTGTCCCTGTCCTTTTGCTCTTCCAATATCATCAATCATTTTTACTGTGACATTACACCTCTCATAGCATTGTCCTGCTCTGATACTTCTGTTACAGAAATGCTTGTCTTTCTGTCTGCAGGGACAAATTTGTTTTTTTCCCTCATGATAGTTGTAGTTTCCTATGTCAACATTGTTCTGTCTATTCTAAGGATACGGTCATCAGAAGGGAGGAAGAAGGCCTTTTCCACCTGTGGGTCACATATGACAGCTGTCACAGTTTTCTATGGGACGCTGCTGTTCATGTATTTACAGCCTGGGACCAACCACTCCCTGGACACTGATAAACTGGCTTCCGTGTTTTATACCTTGGTGATCCCTATGCTGAACCCCATGATCTACAGCCTGAGGAACAGGGACGTGAAGGCTGCCTTACAGAGCTTTGTGACAAACCCATGCGGTTCCTGTAAGTAAATGCAACCTTAGATCTGCATCAATAAGAAAGAGAGAGAGAGAGGATTCCCATGGTCTGCTATGGCATAATAAGAGTCAGATGGTTGTCTTTCAAGCTTTCTGGTATTTCACCAAGAGTGGCCCAGGCTTGGCGAGAAATACATATTGTAAGAAGTTAAAGCTTACTGAGTTGAGAGGGGTGAAGTAGAAAGAAAATGTTGCTTTTCACTGGTGTAGGCAGGTTTCATCTGCGAAAAGGTTTTCAGGTGTAAGGAAAAAAGTAGGATTACAAAACCATTAAATAAATTTGAATGGAGCAAAAAGATAAAAGATAAGTAAGTAAAGTCAATCTTTCTTACTCTGTGGCATTCCTGGTTTTTTTTGTTTTGCTATTTTGTTTGTTTGTTTGTTTGTTTTTCCCAGCATGCACGTAGGTGTTGTGGATCACTGGTTCTTGAAACACTCAAGCTACAGACAATTAAAATGCATTTTACAGCTAAGGTACTAATATGAAATTGAAATTTGTATCTCAAATGTTATAGCATTTTAAAAGACTTTTTGTGAGCAGATATAACCATTGATGTTATATTGTGCAAATTATAAAAATAGTGTAATAGAAATCATTTTATTCCAAACAACGTGATTTTTTGTATCATGAGAGATATTACTTTTATTCTTTAAAAGTTTACATTTCTCCTTACACAAATTATCCTTTTTCTTTCATGGCAAAATAAATGTGTCCCTTGTGAAATCATTAGATTTTAACAGATCATATTTACTCAAATACTTTACATCATTAGAAGAAATATTTAATTTTTCTAAAAGATGTTTTTCTGCTCTCTGATTGTTCCTAGTCAGTGATTTTACACCTAAATCTATTTTATAACTCTATAGGTATAGGTGTGGCCATTTCTGTATCTCTGAATTGTTAAATAAAGAATACAAATCCAGATTTAATAAATGTATTGGTGTAGTGTGACTTAAAATCATAGGAATTAGTCTTTGCAAATATTAAGGAACTTGCTTGAAGGAGATACCTCAACTTCGATATGCAGGTTTCCCTTACTTATGGTGGGATCCGGTGCTGAAATGCTTCTTCAACTGTAGTTGATAAATTTTGAGGCAAATAAGTAGTGACATGAGACAGGGCCTGTAATTCTACAGGAAAGTATTAGCCTTAGAATCATGGAAAATTGTGACTTGTATAACTTCATTTTTGCCTTAATTCCTCAGAGTTTTTATCTACAAAGACTGAAGTCAGGCTTCTCAGACACTGTTTCAACTGAATATTAGTTTTGTGGGACACAGATTGCCTTTTCTGAGCGTCCAAAAGCTTTTAAGGAGAAATGTTAATGTTCTGCTGAGAGGCGACACTGTAATCACGACCTTCCAAGTCTAAGATTTCCTCCCTTCATTTTCTTTTGTCCACATGCACATCTGCATAGCCATTAATAAGGAATATGTATGATCACCTTGCAACTGTGAGAGCCCATCTCCTATTGAGTCTCTAAGTGATTAACTAGTCTGTCAATTATAACTGTTATTATTTATTTATTTTATCTCACACAATTATCTTTATCTTACACAGTGTACAACTATGACTTTCTAAGAATACCTATTAAACTCACATTTGAAATCACATGTGCGAATGAGGTTTTTTTAACCAAAACTTGTCACTTCAGGCAACATCTACCCTAAAAGTTGTAGATCTTCATGGTGTGCCTAAGAATCTGGAATTCTAGGTGTTTACACAATGGACTAAATTTACGCTATGTAAAACCTAAGTGTGATTGTGTATATCAACTCTATTGATAACTGACAAATGCTGAAAGCAACCAAATTCCTTTACAAGAGGAAACAAATCAAACTTGGACATATCCATACAAAGAAATACCACTTGGAAATAAATGCTAGTGATCTAACAAGAACTCAGAAATGAATACACCTTCAATGCATATTTGGTGTGAACAAAGCCAGCCTGTAATGGGTATAATATTTTAATTTTGTGAAATTATTTAAAAGAAAGCCTCTAGAGGCATGAGATATAAATAGAAGTATAGACTTTGTATGTGGTTTCCTGAAGCCTGGGAGAAAAGCTGTAGAAAGGAATGTATAAATGGAAGGAATACAAAGGATTTCATTGTGGTGAAGCTATCCTGCATGGTATTGTGGTGTGGATACATAACATGGACATTTTCAAATACTCATAGAGGCCTACAGGACAGACAATAAACTCCATTAAATGCAAATGCAAAATTAAAAATAAAAACGCAAACAATCAGAGGAAGCTGAAAATATGAAATTTAATAGAACAGTCTACTGTGTTGAGATGGGTGAAACAATTTTTCCGAGGTGAACTCCAAGAAAGCTGATGCTGGGGCTGGGAATTTAGCTCAGTGGCAAAGTGCCTGCCTGGCAAGCGCAAGGTCATGAGTTCGGTTTGCGGTACTGGAGAAAAACAAAAACAAAAAACAAACAAGAAAGCTGATGCTCTATGTAATAGAGAGACCAGATTCTGTAAGGATAAACACAAAATGAGCTGGGAGTGACAACATATTTTAGCTATGTATTTGTTTAGGATGTAGTTTAACAATTCTGATTCATTATGTAGATACAAGGGGATTGAACAAATAAATGAAAGGCAGATATTTTGAGCCAGGATTCTCCCCTTTGGAGGAGATTTTTGATTTCAGGGGAAAAGTCTATATCTGATATTAGGGAGAGTGTAGTTACATTCAACAAAAGGAATGAAGATTCCTTTCAGACTTCGCTAGGACAGAGTGAGAAGTCTGTGTGATTACAAAGAATATTAGTGTCAGAAAGTAAGGATTACTCAAAGAAGCAGGGAGGGCAGGAGAGAGGGAAGGAGAAAAAGAGAGAGATAAAGTAAAAAAGCAGAGAGATCAAAATACCACAGGCTCATGATCAAACGTGAAAATGGTTTTAATGGATTAAACCAGAAGAATTTGACCAACAAAAGTGAGTAACATAAAATGCTACAATAGAATTCTTATCCTAGGTATAAAGAATTTCCTTATGGTACTGAAAAAAATAAATGAGTGTATATTTTAGAAATGGGGAAATGGACAAAAGTCTACACAATAATCCCCAGCAATTCATTCCCATTAATGTATGTACTACCCTGCCCCCAAGAACGTGCAGAACTCCCCACACCTTAGGAGAGAGTTACACATAGCGACTGCCTCCCAAATAAGGTAGTCAGAAGGAGCAGAGAAACTTTACACTGGGGAACCCAGCAAACACTAGAGGACTAGGTGATTGAGATTAATAGCAGCTATGATAAGTCACATGGACAGGTCCCACTGTGCTGTGATGTGAATTCAACAACATACTCATAGGATTTTTCTCCCCACAGTCTAGCCCCTTCTTGCAATTATGAGTAAACATAGGAAAATTCCCAACTGAGGGGCATTTCAGAAAATAATCCACCAATGCATGCTTCAACACCGGCAAAATCATGATCAAGAAAAAAAATCTGAGAAATTATAGCTGCCTAGAGCAGTTTACAAATATGATAAACAGTGGTATTAGTTGATTCTGGAAGGACCCTGATAAGCAAGTGGAAACTGGGTGAAAACTCAGAATCCAGAGCAAATGATAGACTGTACAAACAGGAGCAACGCGAATGTTTGAGGTTCAGCAATTTACTGAGAACACTGAGCCTTCCCATAGCACACCCTTCTCCTCTTCACTGGCATTCATGGATTGATATTTTTAAAGAAATGAAGAAAACATCACCTTATGTACCATGTCTAGTATTCATCTTCCCCATAACAATATGGCCCTTGCCACTGGGAAGAAAAAAAGACAGATTTATGCAATAATTCACAAGGAAACTTGGGTCCAAATCTGTATAAAACCACTGAGTAGTATTTGTTCACCAAAGATCTGGGTACCAGGTGTGCTAATTGCAATTAGAATAACACCATCTCTAACCACTTCCTGCCAATTTAGTCAGGAATTATACGTATATGGTAATTACAATAAATTCACAAGTCTTTATTTTCCCCTACTTATGTTCCTGTCTACCTACAACTGTCTGACCTATAAAAGTGTCTGGTAGATGCATTTGACTGCTAAGTGATAACATGGACTGTCAGGGTTTTTTTGTTGTTGTTGTTGGTTTTTGGTTTTTTTCCAGTACGGGGAATGGAACTCATGACCTTTCACTTGCCAGGCAGGCGCTGTGCCACTGAGCTAAATCCCCAGACCCTAAATTCAAAATCAGGGATTTTGAATGCTCCTCTCTGAAAGCTTGGCTCTCTCAAATATAATCTCATTACTTAGCTCAGATTACGATAAAGTATTAGAAGTGTAAGCCATTATCGTCTGCACTTAATTAAAATCCTTCTCACATCACAGCTAAAGCAGTGTGAAGATGAAGTCTAGACTCCATCAGCTGTCATTTTCTATCTGTAATTCTCCAATATGCCTCTTGAAAACCCTTTTTGCTACTCGTCTTTCTCAACAATACTGCTCCTCATCTTTCACTTATTCTCTACTAAAAGATTTTCAAGCCATTGTATATCAAATTTAGGGTCATTTTACTGAAGGTAGAATTCGTGAGACCTGAAGTCTAACTACATTAGCCATTAAGGCCTAAATTTGCTATTGCATTTTTTAAATTGGCAAAGAATTAAAACTCTAATGCTCATATTTCTTACATATATGGTTACACCTCTTACAATTTTATATAGATATGTCTTATCTGTAATAATATTCATTGGGGAAAACGAATGATTCATTTGGTGTCTCATCTAAAAATACAATTATTCAGTTATGTATTATTCAGTAATTAGCACAACATTTATTTCCCTGACAGACTTGGAACTCTGGCAATCACATAGTATGGCATTATATTTTTGTAATTATGAAGAGGTTTGTAGATTATTTAACATAATCACTCAGTGTAAACATACTTCCCATTAATAGCTCCTGACAACAGAGGAGGAACAGGAGAGAATAAATCTGTCCCATGGGGCTTTCTTTAAGAAAGTGGGACAAAAAGTGCACTTCAGCTAAACTCCCTTGAGGTTTTTTTTGTTTGTTTGTTTGTTTGTTTTTGTTTTTCTCCGGTACCGGGAACCGAACTCACGACCTTGCGCTTGCTAGGCAGGCGCTTTTGCCGCTGAGCTAAATCCCCAGCCCCTCCCCTTGAGTTTTAACATGACGGTAAAAATACCCCAACAAATAATGTTCACTGCTGCACCCACGAAAGTCCAGATGGAAAAAATACTTGTTGAAGAAATGCAGATTCTCCACAGAGACGACTGAGCCTTGTACTTTACCAAACAGGGTAAAAAAGTAGCCCTATCCTGCAATTCTGCCACCCCAACTGCAAGTGGGAATCAAAGCACCTTCCTTTGTATGTTTTTTGTTTGGTTGCTTTGGTTTGGTTTTGGTTTAATTCTTCTTGTAGAAGTCAAATAAATCTGTACTCTTTCAGGTTCTTACACTAGTGAGACAATACATTACTTACACATGCAGGTCTGGTTTATTTCACTTATGAGTATGGTCTCTAGTTGTGACTATTTACCTATAAAAGCCTCAAGTTTATCTTTCTTTATAGCTGAGTAATATTCCATTATATAAAAGTACCACAATTTTTTTGTCCATTCCTCAGTGGATGGACATTTGGGTTGCTTCCACAATTCAGCAATTATAAATTGCACTGCTTTGAACATGGGTGCACATATATCGCTGTGATATGATGCTTTGAGATCTTCTGGGAAAAAACCCAGAAGGGGAATGGCTGGGTTGAATGGGATCTCTAGTCCTAGTTTACTGAGGAATCTCCAAACTGATTTCCACAGTGGCTTCACCAGTCTGCATTCCCACCAGCAGTGGAGAAGAGTTCCTATTTCTCCAAAGCCTCGCCAGCATTTGTTATTGGTTGATTTCTTAATGCTAGCCATTATTACTGGGGTGACATGAAATCTCAACGTTGTTTCAATTTGCATTTCTCAAATGACTAATGATGTGTATGCATATACAGGATAGCTAACATAGTTGTACTACTGACTTCTACTGTTTTACTGAAAGGAACATTTAATGATTACTTATTTGATCAATCTTGTATATCTGTATTTTTTTTTCCTGAGAAATCACTTTGAAGATATCAGTATGCAATACAACAACCATTGCTAATTTCCTACCACTTTGTCTGTAACTCTCTATTGTTTGTATTGTTCTTATGCAATTTTGTAAATTGATGTCTGTTTGTTAATGATTTCCTTCTTTAATTTTTAAAATAAATTTAAAAAACAAATAAATCTGTACTACAGTCACTGATGTACCATCCTAGTCTGTATGCCTTCTGATGATTTTAGCATTTTAATGAATGAGGAATTGATGCCTCACTTGTTCAAAAGTAAACATTATCTTTCACAAAGCTAAGAAATTGAAAATGGAGAAAACTTTTCTGCAGGAATTTCACAGGAAATGAAATGTGCTAATTTTATTTTATTTTATTTTATTTTAATCTTTTTGAGACATGGTCTCACTATGCAGTTCAGGCTGGCCTTAAGCTCACTTTGCAGTCCTGGTTGGTCTTGAACTCGCAAGGATCCTCCTGCTTCAGCCTCCTGAGTGCTGGGTTTACAGGCCTGTGCCAGTACCCCCAGCAAATGTGCTAATTTTAAAACCAAGCGTCATACACCTGGAATTTATTGATGTTGGGAATATAATAAAATCATAATGTGTTTCGGTCTCTGTTGGTGAGGTTAAACCTGACATCACAATTCATCTGTACACAGAATCCATCAGCGTTCAGGGAATTGTCAACATCACCATGAAACACCCAGCTCCTTCAGGCATGCTGGCCATGGGTACAGTTCTCGTTTCTACGAATAAGTCAAAATACAAAACACTGATTATGTTTTTTTCAACAAAATGGCCACAGACTACACAAACTTTGCATATTACATGCTTCCAAAAACATCTATGGGATTCTTAGTTTCGGTAAGATGATCTTTTAAGTCCCAGGGATACAGTGATAAACGGACTTTTTATTTGTTTTGTTTGTTTGTTTTTATCTCTTGCAGAACTTCTTGTAGCTTGAAAACCAGCATACAAAACAAAACCTTTACCGGGCCGCCGCTGGGGCGGAGGGCTGCTGGAGGAGAGAGAGTGCGCGCAGAGTGAAACAGGAACCAAACCCTTGTTCCAGGAACTCCAGCGCAGCTGGAGCAGGGCGAGCAAGGCGGAGAGAGCAAAGCGTGATTCTGCGGCAGAAAGCCCCCGAGACACAGACAAAGGGCTGTCCCCCGAGGACTGTAGCGTGCAGCTGGGAGAGCTGACGGCCCCCAGTGTCCCCGTCACATGGAGAACGCGCCCTGCTCCGCAGTGTTGAGGCACCCTTTGCAAGGGAGCAGAAAATCCACCCAACTCTCTTTTCGTTCTTTCCTCACCAGGATATTTTCACCCCGTGAATATAAAAAGATAAGAATGATAAAAATGGTAAAACAAAGTCAAGATTAATACATTATTCTCTAATGATTGGTACATTTTCCAGAGATTTTTTTTTTTTTTTCTTTTCTAAAACCTTCTAAGTTAGGGGGGAAATATAGGAGGCATCCAGAGAAAAATTTCGTTACTTAAACTACATCTGACAAATTCCTCAGGGAATACTGGATATCGCATTTTGTTCGTTCTTGTGTCCTTTTGATTAGTGGCCTAGCCGTTTGATTGTAGGAAAGTGGATGCACCTTGAGGCACTGACGTGTAATACCCCCCAAGCAGAAGGTTAATCTCAAGGTTTCCCTTTATGAGAAACAATCTAAAGAGCAAAAGAAAAGGAGAGGATGAGGAACCGGGGAACAGACTTTGTGGAAATAGGCCGGGGGTCTGGGAAGGGGAAGAGAGCAGAAGATGGGTAGTGAGAGGGAAGCAAAGTGACAAAATGTGATATGTGCGTGCCAGTTCCCCAGGAGATCGCAACCACTACGTATCCCAAACAGAAGCCAATAAAACGTCTTCTTAGAAGAACGGGGCGTTGCAGCAATGTTTCAGTAAAAAAGGAGGCCCTGTATTCTCTCAGAATCTTTTGAATTCCCTGAAATTTGGAAAATCTTTTCATTATAGAAATGTGTAGATCCACTAAACACACACAAAAATAGGATTATGTATTGTTTGGTTCTTCATCCACTCATTAATCAATGGTAAGGACTGATATATTTATCCAGCCTAATTTTCCACACAAATCGTTAACCAATGAAGCATTTATATCTAAGGAGCCAAGCTCTTCACTGGCCATGGCTTAATTATATTTTTATCATAGACACAATGTCTTATAAACCCTGTGGAGATTCAACAGTGAAAAAATAGATGTTGTAGGATGAACTAAGTGATAGGTCACCTAAGGACACTGGTAGTGGTTTTTATAACTCTAGATATAAAATATGAAAGTTCTATTAAGAGCACCAAGTGTTATGCATGCATAGTCACTGCGTAAAGTTTCTGAACTCCCGAAGTAAAATAAAGCAATAAGTATAATAGTTGTTGCTCCTGGCCTTCTGTAAAATATCCTCCATGATTTATTATGTTCACTTGATTTGTACTTTATAGTAAGAAAGTGTAAAATTTAAAGTCCTCCAGTTCCACCTATATTGCTACAAAAAACAACATTTTGTTCTTCCTTTTGGCTGAATAATATTCTACTGTTTGTCTATACCATTTTTTTATGTATTCATCCATTTCAGAGCACCTGACTTGATTATATATGTTGGCCATTTTAATTTTTGCTGGGATAAATATGAGTCTGTGTTAGAATAAGGCAGATACAGAAAAATAACTACTTCAAATTCTCTCTCAAATGCTGAATTTAAAGTCAAGGTAAGGGGCTGGGGATTTAGCTCAGTGGCAAAAGCGCCTGCCTGGCAAGCGCAAGGTCATGAGTTCGGTTCCGGTACTGGGGAAAAACCAAAAAAAAACCCAAAAAATAAATAAATAAATAAATAAATAAAGTCAAGGTAAGTATAGAATTAGGGTTTCTGCAGGTTCAGGAGAAGGTAGGAGGAGCTTGGGTAAAGGGAGATTACAGTGGATCAGTGAATGCTGTATTCTGTGAATGTACTGAAATTTGCAAAGAAACCCATTAACATGTACCACCAATAGGTATTATTCAAGAATAAAGTGCAAAGATTTACAGCACTAAATGCGATTTCTAGAAAGTGTGTCTTTCTTTCCTCGTAAATTATTAGTTTTATGTTCCTTAGTACAAAACATCTCTTCTAGGGTCACCTCCATCACTGATGCTCCTAAAAGTTCTGTGTGTGTGTGTGTGTGTGTGCGTGTGTGTCCGTACACACACACACACTTTTATGCAGCACTACACATATAGATGCAGCATCTCAGCACCTGATCACAAGGCATGGCATTTTAAACTAAGCATAAACAAAGATGGAATGCAGTACCAGTGGGTTGATAGCCCATCTCATCTTACTTGGGAAAAATGCATTAAAAAGTGTCATTTAGTACCTGGACTATAGAATCCATACCAATGAAATTTGTGTTATTTTTATGATTGATACAGTTACATCATGGGGCAACTTCTAAGCGTTTATTCTATTTTTCACTTGAATATGTTGTGTTCATGTGTCACTGAAAAAATATGATTCTTCCTATCATCTTCATCATTACATTTTAGTACATGTTCATTATTAGAAATTTTTGGAATATAAAACTTAACAGACTGATTTTAATCTCATGACATAATATATACACATAAATCCACCCTGTACCCACCTAAAACATTGACAATATATTTCTGTTATGTCCTTGACTTCAGTATGACTAGCAGGTAAGTGCACAACCCAAGAGTTTGACAATCTGTCAACACATTTCACACACAAAAAAATCTTGGTAAGATTCCCAAAGGTACTTCCTATTAGCATTTCAATACCAAATTTGTAGACTGACAGCAATGATTTAAAACACAAACATATTTAAAACAAACATACAATTTTGTGTCAAGGGTTAGATAAATCTTAGCAATAATGTCACACTAGACACACAGACAAAGATCTACAGTGCTGCAAAGTGTGTTACTCACATTAATAGGTCTCCCAGTGGAGCATGGATTCTAGCTTTCCTGATAACCTTGTTTGTTCACATTCTGGAATAAGATCCCTTGGGACAGAGATACAGACACGAGCATGAACCAATTTCTATCTGCACCCATTATGTGAAAACATAAAAGCACATCTTACCTGAATAAGCTGCAAGAGATTGTTTCCAGATGGTGAACTTTATCTATTCATGGGTAAGAGCATCACAGTAATATTTCAAGAAAAGAATTTAATTTAAGTAGAATTAGGTACAGTGGGTTAGAATTTAAAAAGTTTAGGGTACATTTTCTAAAATATAGTTAAACAGTATTTTCTAGATTTTACTTACTTTTTGATACATATATTCATAATGATATAAAAATATTCCTGAATAGATTGAATTACATGAAACATTTTGCTTTGGAAAAACTCAAGCTGCTGGCTGACTAGATTTTAATATATGAACAAGTTGCTTCTACTCTTTCGGTATCTGGAGATTTATCCGGGTTTAGTGGGGAGTGCATTAGACAAAGGTCACCACCGTGACTCTAGAGATATTTTCCACAGAAAGGAATATAACTTGAGAGAAAAGTGGAGAAACCTTCAAATATTACTGCTAAAATTCATCTCATATTCTTCATCACCTGGTATCTGGAAGGAGCCACGTTAGGAAATGGAGGAAAACAGCCCTTCTCACAATCGTAAGGTGTCTATGGTGGGTCAGAAGAAGAGGTGGGCACAGGTGGATGTGATGAGTGAGCGAAGAATATAGATGAGGAAATGTCCAAAGTGTTTCCAACGCGTAATGACAAAAGATTCTCAGTCAGTGTGAGAGGGAAAGCAAGGGAGGGTTTCATAAAAGAGAGCATATCAAAACACACCTTGAAAGATAAGCAGAAAATTTCCCCTTCAGTGTCCTCTTTTGTTTAAGAGAAAGGAGTGAGTGACACGGCAGAAGCCAGATGGAACATACCAATTGGAACAGTAGGGGTCGTTGCTGTTTCAGGACTAAAGGGAGCAAAGATGTTCAGAGTATTTTGTATTACAGTGTAAGAAGTCACATTCACATTCAAAGAATAAGTAAAAGCTATTTTAAACAGTCAACATTCAGAGAAGGGACTTGGTTGGAGAAGCAAAATAAGCAAAATTTTATCTCATTTTTGTCTTTGCTTTTTTCTTTCCATTTCTTTGCTTTGCTTTTTCCTAGCTTTTTGAGGTTCAAATTGACTTTCACTTTAACATATTAATTGAAGATTTGGAAATTGTGGGTTCCTAAGGATTATTTTCTTGCATTTATGCATCTCTATGATTGGATATGAATGCAATCAGTTTTTAGGATTTCTAGGGTAATATACAATTTATTTAGATTTTCTTGGATTTATTCCATAGTGCTTCTTAATAAACATATTGAGTGAAAACCTAAGAAAAATGTACTTTTCAATAAAATAAATAATATTTGCTAGTACCTTAAAGGTTTTAGTATATTTGGAAGATAAGTGAAGAGCCATGGAATAATTTGTATAATTCTTGAAGAGAAATTTCATCATGTGCAGAAAATTTTATCAATTTTTAATAAATTTCCTTCTGAATTATCAGATATAAAGGTAACAGAGACAAAAGAGGTAAGGTAGAGAAACAAAAAAATAGGGATATTTGGCATTATTAGGACATTCACTAATTCAATTATAAAAATTAGTCACTGTGACTAAGAATAAAAAGAAAGATACACAAATTTAATTACAATAGAAAAACTAGAATTAATATGCAAAATGTACTTCAAATCTTTTTAAAAGATTGACTTGTAAGTTAATGTGTAAAGAAATTTCAATTTCTTTTAAAAAACAAATATGATTCTGATGACAATTTTAATGTAATTTGATATATAATGGTGCTATATTCTAAGCATTTCCATAGAACCAAGGTTTGTATCAACAGAATAAGTATAAGATATTGTATTAAGAGTATAATTAGGATGTACAGATTCCTGAGTAAATATGGCTTCAAAGCCTAGCTTACCCAAAACACATCTGATGTGTAGATGCTTCTACTTTATTGTCTTCTTTCTCATTTGTAAAGTAAGCATAAATATAAGGTTTTCCATTAAAGTTTATTGAGATAAACATGATACTGTGCCTTCTATATAGTTACCTTGAGTATTTGAAGTATTCATATACTACTATGATTATATTGTGATCCAGATTGCCCATATAGAATACATTACTAATGTGAAATAAAAAATACCAAAGTTTACATATGATAGCCTTGGGACAATAAGTGGTTTGTTTGCATTTGCCCTAGTGACACC